CCCGATGTTGATTGTGAAGGCTGTTGAATTGGGGCTTTCATTAGTAGTTGTGAAGGTCGTCAGATTGTAACCTTCTACGTGAAAGTCCTTAAATTGTAGCCTTCTGGAAGTTGTCAGATTGTAACTTCCATCATTGGTGTTTGATGGGGGATCAACTATCTATTGTGATTTTTAGACAGCCTACATGGGGACCATAGACTTGATTGCTGAATTGTGGAGCCTTTGTACTTTAGGTTACCCCTGATGGGGAGCCAAGTGCCTTGTTCTGATTGAGAAGTCGTTTTGCCTTGGACTTATTCTTTAGGAAGAGCCAAGGATTTTTTCCCGACTGAGACGTCGTTTTGCCTTGGTTTTACCCAGATTAGGGACTAAGGCCTTTGTTCTGACTGACAAGTCATTTTGCCTTGGTTTTACCCAGATTAGGGACCAAGGGCTTTGTTCTGACTAGGAAGTCGTTTTGCCTTGGACTTATTCTTTAGGAAGAGCCAATGGCTTTTTCTTGACTTAGAAGTCATTTTACCTTAGTTTTACCCATATTAGGGACCAAGGGCTTTGTTCCGACTAAGAAGTCGTTTTGCCTTGGACTTATTCTTTAGGAAGAGCTAAGGGCTTTTTCCCAACTGAGAAGTCATTTTGCCTTGGTTTTACCCTGATTAGGGACCAAGGGCTTTATTCCGACTGAGAAGTCGTTTTGCCGTAAACTTATTCTTTAGGAAGAGCCAAGGGTTTTTTCCCGACTGAGAAGTTATTTTACCTTGGTTTTACCCAGATTAAGGACCAAGGTCTTTGTTCCGACTGAGAAATCATTTTGCCTTGGTTTTATCCTGATTAGGGACCAAGGGCTTTGTTCCGACTGAGAAGTCATTTTGCCTTGGACTTATTCTATAGGAAAAGCCAAAGGCTTTTTCCTAACTGAGACGTCATCGTGGCTAGGTAACTAGGTCTATGTACCGACTGAGAAGTTGTTTTTCCTTGGTTTTACCCAGATTAGGTACCAATGGCTTTGTTTCGACTGAGAGCATAAGGAACTGAACCATGTGTTGTGTCTTGGTCTTACCTTTAAGAAGAGCCAAGTGCTTTGTTCCGACTGAGAAGTCGTTGTGCCTAAGTGACTAGGTCTTGATGCCGACTGAGAAGTCGTTTTACCTTGGTTTTACCCAGATTAGGTACCAAGAGCTTTGTTCTGACTAAGAAGTCGTTTTGCCTTGGACTTATTCTTTAGGAAGAGCCAAGGGCTTTTTCTTGATTGAGAAGTCGTTTTGCCTTGGTTTTACCCAGATTAGAGACCAATGGCTTTGTTCCGACTGAGAAGTCATTTTGCCTTGGACTTATTCTTTAGGTAGAGCCAATGCCTTTTTCTCGACTGAGAAGTCGTTTTGTCTTGGGCCTATCCTGATGCGGCCCCAGGGCCTTATAACTGACTGAGGAGTCATGGCACCTTGGGCCTGTCCTGAGGCGGCACTGGGGTCTTGTGACCGACTGAGGAGTCGTTGTGCCTCAGGTTTACCTAGATTAGGGGCCGAGGACTTTATACCGTTATGGCCGATGGGAGAAGACGGAATCAAACCATATGTTGTGCCTTGGGCTTACCTTTAAGAAGATCCAAGGGCTTGCATTTTTTCCTAGAGCCGGGAGTTGCCTGTAGGAAACAACATAAAGGATTGTGCCTTGGTTTTTCCCTAAGGAGGTACCAAGGACTTTCATCGACTTAGCCGAGTGCCCAGCTGACTAGGTCTTTGATATCTTTCTTTTGATTTCCATTGATTATTGGAATTTATACATGATAGAGTACAACTCATTCACATTATTCCATCGAATGATGCCGACTTCATGTTTCTTCTCCGTGTGCATCTTGGAGACGACTTTTGACTGGGGGCAAAGTCACCGAGATGGAGCTTTCTTGGCTGTTTCTTTTTATCTGTGAACCTTCCTGCCTTGATGAGAGCGAGTTGTTGCTTCATTGGCTACCTTTGTTGCCAAATTGAGGAACGTCCAGAATCGGGGGTTGCTCTTTCTCTTGATGGTGAGCTGTTTGGATTTTTAGACGTTGTTAAGTTGATGGCATATTTTCCATTTCATCAGTCAAGGACCTGTTTGGAGGCTTTGCTGAGATCCTTGCAGGTCGACGGTGGACATGGTGATTTTCAATAGATCTTGCTTGTCCGCCGTTGGTTGCTTTGTTAGGCTCGATATTCTGTTGTTTGAGCTTTTGGAAGATGTTGCTCGACGGAGGTGGCCCAGGCAACTTTTGTGATGTGGGCTTCTTGTTGGCGAGATCCCCATACGCCGAAGCTTTGTTCCCTAGAATTTGATGGGATCATGACTTCCCCTGGGGGTTTCCAGGGATAGCGACGGCCGGACCATCCTATAAATGGTGAGCCTTCTTTTGTTAGGGGGATGCGAGTCACATGTTTCGACCACCAACTCTTACTTTGTCTTTAGGTGGTTCGAACAGCGGCTGGGGACCGGAGCTGTTAATCTTCCTGAGAAGACCAGATGGCGAGCCCTTGAGTTTTTTCCACAACCCCTCTCTTGGTGAGGAAGGACTCTCCTTTAAAGGTGGTGGTGGTCCGAGGAGCCTGCCACAGACTTGATCGTTGCTCCTTGCTCGGGTGAGCCATTGCCGACGGGGGCTTGAATGATATTGGATCTGATCATGACCCTTGGGAGCCTGTTTGCGATCCAACCCCAGGCCTCTTGGTTGTTCAGGAGGGGTGGGGGGTTCATCTGTGGCGGTGATTAGAAGCCTGTGTTTATTTTTAAGCCAGACAAGCACCATGGTGGTGTGTCTTTTCTTAGGAGGGCTTTCGGGGTTCCACTTAGCAAATACCCCCTAGAAAGCTGTTGGAGCCCTCAAGGGCTACACCCACATTGGCTCCTCATTGCCATAGGCTAATCCTCCTTAGCTTGAATGATGCAATTCCAGGCTTTGTTTAGCTTGAATGATGCAATTTCAGTGCTCTTCAAGAAGGAACAATATTAGGCCCTGACTTAGAATTGGGCATTTATTCTCAGAGAAGAAAGTAGGCCCTACAGTGGGTTCCAAACTATTGATGCTCATGAACAAACAGTCGATGGGGGTTTCCCGCTGTCGGATGCAGTTTTGATCCTGGGGACAGTAGGGAAGAAGGAGAGGATGAATGTTCGGGCCGACTCCTCCGACTTTATGCCTGATCCTGAGCGTGCGGGGTGGAGTGATAGCTTGTACATGCAAGAATTACAGGAATACGTGGCTAGTTTCCCCCGTGGTACCTTCGAAGGTCAAGTTAGTTGATGAACTTGGGGAGGGTTTTTTGAGGGGCCCTTGGGCCATTAAGGTCATTACAGGGGGTTTTTCCTCGAGAGTGATAAAAATGCTTTTGATGTAAAAAGAAGAAGATCCCAAAGGGGAGTAAAGCTCAAGTGTAAGAAGAATCAGAGAGCCCCCTCCACTACTTACCCTTCCTACCTCCTTTATATAGTCCATAGCCTCTGAGACTTTTAGCTTTTTCTCTTGCACAGGAGGGCGGTTGCAGGGTAGGCAGATAGACTACTGAGTTATCCTTCTCCTTCCAGATGTCGGCTGACGATTGAAAGGGAGTCATTCGAATACAGGAGAGGATTGTCCTCTCAGTACCCTGGGTTTGTCAAAAGAGGCAGGGTGTAGGATAGGTCGGCTACGTGGCCGTCCTTCTCTCTCCAGGTGGTGGCTGGCGATTGGAGGAGAAGTAATTCGTGCATAGAGAAGTATCATGGCAATCTTCTGGGAAATGACTTGTAAACCGAATAAGCGGATGGGGCACGAGGGTTTTCAGAATAGAGATCTTAACGGGACTAATCAGTACTGTTGTGTTGATTGACATCTGAAATGATCTTGGTCGGCTCTTATTCCTTTGGCCGAGGCAGGTTGATCTACAAGCCATCATTATGATTTGGCGATCCGATAGTCGTGTGAGCTTCCGGTCGAGTGTATAGTTGAGTCGTCTGCTCGAGGAGTTGTCTTAATTGCGAGGGGGCGACTGATCTCACACTTCGAGTCAGTCATGATGACTTGTTGATCGAAATATGGCTTGTCTGCTCGTTTGGTCGAGGGACTTGGCTCTGACTGGGCTTTTGAGCCTCTAAGTTGATTTGGACCATAACTCTCTTGGGCTTATGTAGACATTCTCCAGATATTTCTATTTTAGTATGGTGACCGACCATAACATTATCTATAGTGGATCTGGAAATAGAAGCAACTAACATGTTATCGACATAAAACAACAAGTAAATGTATGCACCTTTATTCAACTTGCGATAATAGACGTAAGGATCAAACTGGCTCCAAATGTACGAATGACCGAGCATAAACCCATCGAATCACCTATACCACTATCGTGGAGATTGCTTCAACCCGTATAACGATTTCTTTAACCTACAAACCAATTTCTCCTTTTCTGCAGCTTGAAACTCTAATGGCTGAGTCATATAGATTTCCTCATCAAGATCACCATGAAGAAATGTTGTTTTAACATCTAACTGATCTAATTCCAAACCATACTGTGCCACCAAAGCTAGAAGAATCCAAATCGATGAGTGCTTCACCACCGGAGAAAAGACCTAATCAATGCCTTCTTCTTGTGCATATCCCTTCGCTACCAACCTAGCTTTGAACCTCACGGAAGTTCCCTTAATGCCCTCATTCTTCGTATACACCCACTTGCAACCAATAGCCTTCCGCCCCTTTGGAAGCTTTACAAGCTCCCATGTGTCGTTCTTGTGAAGAGACTCCATCTCCTCCTGGATTGCCTCCTGTCACAAATCAGCTTCTGAACTCTGCTCAGCATCTCTAAATATAGTAGGAACCATCTCATCGACACTCTCCATCAAAAGTGCATACGTAGTGACTGTGTCTGTATACCTAGCTAGCAACCATATGTCTCTCCTCGGCCTCCGAATTACAATAGAATCCTGAACCTGAGTCATCGGTCCCTGATCCTGTTCAACTGTACTCGTATCCTACAAATTATCATTATGCTCACCTGGCACCACTTCAGTCAGCACTCTAATGGATACGGTCTCATCTGAACTATGTGGATCTGCATTAATCTCTACCATCTATGATGTCTCTAATATCGGGGTGCTCTCCACCTAATGAGAGCTGAGAAGCTTCAAGATCGAAGCCTCATCGAAAGTGACGTCTCTACTTAGCACAATCTTCTTGTCAACTAGATCCCAAAGCTTGTATCCTTTTACACCACACTTGAATCCAACAAATATGACATTTCTAGCTCGAGGTTCCAATTTATCAACCTTCACATGATAAAATATAGGGTACCCAAATACCTTGAGCTGATCATAATCACGTGTTAGCTCTCCTGACCACATCTCCATAGGTGTTTTCCCCTCAATCGCAGATAAATGCAGCCTATTAATGAGTTGACTCGCATATGAAAGTAGCTCAGCCTAAAAGATCTTCTCCAAGCCACTCTGTGATAACAAACATTGGACCTTCTTCAGTAAAGACCGATTCAATCTCTCTATCACCCCATTCTGTTGTGGTGTATGACTAATTATGAAGTGTCTCTCTATGTCCTCGTCTTGAAATAGCTACTGAAAGGGGTCTGAAGTGTATTCGCCGCCATTGTCAGATCTCAATGTCTTGATCTTTCTCCCAGTCTGTAGTTCTAATCTCCTCTTTCACTCTACAAATAATTTTAGGACTTCATTCTTATACTTTATGGTGTACACCCAACAATGCTTAGAATAGTCATCCATAAACGTGATGAACTAATATCCAACACCAAGTGATATCGTCTTGGTGGGACTCCAAACATCTGTGTGCACGTAGTCTAAGATGCTTGTCGTCCTATGTACGACTATCCCAAACTTCACCTTAGTCTTCTTGCCAAGAACACAATGCTCATAGAAAAAGAAGAAGATCCCAAAGGGGAGTAAAGCTCAAGTGTAAGAAGAATCAGAGAGCCCCCTCCACTACTTACCCTTCCTACCTCCTTTATATAGTCCATAGCCTCTGAGACTTTTAGCTTTTTCTCTTGCACAGGAGGGCGGTTGCAGGGTAGGCAGATAGACTACTGAGTTATCCTTCTCCTTCCAGATGTCGGCTGACGATTGAAAGGGAGTCATTCGAATACAGGAGAGGATTGTCCTCTCAGTACCCTGGGTTTGTCAAAAGAGGCAGGGTGTAGGATAGGTCGGCTACGTGGCCGTCCTTCTCTCTCCAGGTGGTGGCTGGCGATTGGAGGAGAAGTAATTCGTGCATAGAGAAGTATCATGGCAATCTTCTGGGAAATGACTTGTAAACCGAATAAGCGGATGGGGCACGAGGGTTTTCAGAATAGAGATCTTAACGGGACTAATCAGTACTGTTGTGTTGATTGACATCTGAAATGATCTTGGTCGGCTCTTATTCCTTTGGCCGAGGCAGGTTGATCTACAAGCCATCATTATGATTTGGCGATCCGATAGTCGTGTGAGCTTCCGGTCGAGTGTATAGTTGAGTCGTCTGCTCGAGGAGTTGTCTTAATTGCGAGGGGGCGACTGATCTCACACTTCGAGTCAGTCATGATGACTTGTTGATCGAAATATGGCTTGTCTGCTCGTTTGGTCGAGGGACTTGGCTCTGACTGGGCTTTTGAGCCTCTAAGTTGATTTGGACCATAACTCTCTTGGGCTTATGTAGACATTCTCCAGATATTTCTATTTTAGTATGGTGACCGACCATAACATTATCTATAGTGGATCTGGAAATAGAAGCAACTAACATGTTATCGACATAAAACAACAAGTAAATGTATGCACCTTTATTCAACTTGCGATAATAGACGTAAGGATCAAACTGGCTCCAAATGTACGAATGACCGAGCATAAACCCATCGAATCACCTATACCACTATCGTGGAGATTGCTTCAACCCGTATAACGATTTCTTTAACCTACAAACCAATTTCTCCTTTTCTGCAGCTTGAAACTCTAATGGCTGAGTCATATAGATTTCCTCATCAAGATCACCATGAAGAAATGTTGTTTTAACATCTAACTGATCTAATTCCAAACCATACTGTGCCACCAAAGCTAGAAGAATCCAAATCGATGAGTGCTTCACCACCGGAGAAAAGACCTAATCAATGCCTTCTTCTTGTGCATATCCCTTCGCTACCAACCTAGCTTTGAACCTCACGGAAGTTCCCTTAATGCCCTCATTCTTCGTATACACCCACTTGCAACCAATAGCCTTCCGCCCCTTTGGAAGCTTTACAAGCTCCCATGTGTCGTTCTTGTGAAGAGACTCCATCTCCTCCTGGATTGCCTCCTGTCACAAATCAGCTTCTGAACTCTGCTCAGCATCTCTAAATATAGTAGGAACCATCTCATCGACACTCTCCATCAAAAGTGCATACGTAGTGACTGTGTCTGTATACCTAGCTAGCAACCATATGTCTCTCCTCGGCCTCCGAATTACAATAGAATCCTGAACCTGAGTCATCGGTCCCTGATCCTGTTCAACTGTACTCGTATCCTACAAATTATCATTATGCTCACCTGGCACCACTTCAGTCAGCACTCTAATGGATACGGTCTCATCTGAACTATGTGGATCTGCATTAATCTCTACCATCTATGATGTCTCTAATATCGGGGTGCTCTCCACCTAATGAGAGCTGAGAAGCTTCAAGATCGAAGCCTCATCGAAAGTGACGTCTCTACTTAGCACAATCTTCTTGTCAACTAGATCCCAAAGCTTGTATCCTTTTACACCACACTTGAATCCAACAAATATGACATTTCTAGCTCGAGGTTCCAATTTATCAACCTTCACATGATAAAATATAGGGTACCCAAATACCTTGAGCTGATCATAATCACGTGTTAGCTCTCCTGACCACATCTCCATAGGTGTTTTCCCCTCAATCGCAGATAAATGCAGCCTATTAATGAGTTGACTCGCATATGAAAGTAGCTCAGCCTAAAAGATCTTCTCCAAGCCACTCTGTGATAACAAACATTGGACCTTCTTCAGTAAAGACCGATTCAATCTCTCTATCACCCCATTCTGTTGTGGTGTATGACTAATTATGAAGTGTCTCTCTATGTCCTCGTCTTGAAATAGCTACTGAAAGGGGTCTGAAGTGTATTCGCCGCCATTGTCAGATCTCAATGTCTTGATCTTTCTCCCAGTCTGTAGTTCTAATCTCCTCTTTCACTCTACAAATAATTTTAGGACTTCATTCTTATACTTTATGGTGTACACCCAACAATGCTTAGAATAGTCATCCATAAACGTGATGAACTAATATCCAACACCAAGTGATATCGTCTTGGTGGGACTCCAAACATCTGTGTGCACGTAGTCTAAGATGCTTGTCGTCCTATGTACGACTATCCCAAACTTCACCTTAGTCTTCTTGCCAAGAACACAATGCTCATAGAATTCAATTTTTCTACTCTTGGCTCCCTTCAATATCTCCTGCTTGCACAAAGCCTGTAGTGACTTTTCACCTGTGTGCCTCAATCTGTAGTGTCAAAGTCTTCTCGCGTCCGCCTCTAAAACAGCTAAAGCTACCAAGACAATCTCGATGCTCTCTTTCAGATAATAAAGATTCCTACTGCAGACTCTCTTTATCACTACCAAAGATCCTTTAGTAACTTTTCTACAACGTTCTTAAAAGTCACATTGAATCCCTTTGCCTCCAAAGCTCCAACGAAAAGAAGATTCTTCTTCAACTGAGAAACAAATCTCATTTCATTCATCTCTCAAACAACTCCGTCGTGCATCCAAATCCTGATGGTACATATCCCACAAATGTCATAGGATTGATCATTTCCCATGACTACTACGCCCCCATCGAACTTCTCGAAAGATGCAAACTAATCTCGCGAGGGAGTCACATGATAAGTAGCACCAAAATCCAACATCCAATCCAATGTATCCGCATGGTTAACCTCTGGAGTAATCAATAGAGAAAAGCATGAATCGTCAAAATCATTACCACTCTTAGCAACATTCAACTCATTGGCCTTTGGGCCCTTCTTCTTGCTATTCTACTTCTCTCCGAGCTTCAGGCAATCTCTCTTCCAATGTCATTGTTCTTTGTAGAAAGCGCATTGGTTCTTCGCTAATTGGTAGTGGCCCCTTGACTTTGACCTGCTTCGATTACCACCTCTCGGATAGGGACTCCTTCCTCTCATCGACAAGGCCTCTCCTAAAGTGCTAGCTTTGGAAGTCTCTTTGTCTTTCCTCCTCAGATCGTAATTCATTAACACATTAGTCACTTCACTATAGGTGATGGAAGATTTAATGTTCAACAAAGTGAGCACGAAGGTATCATACTCCTCATCAGGTAAGGAGCCTAACAAAATAATTGTTTGTACTCATCTGATATCTTCTCATCCACGTTCGCTAAATCTGACAACAATTTTATGTAGTTATTCACAAGAGCTGCAAGTGAGTTACCCTTGGACATCTAGAATCTAAACAATCTTCGCAGCAAGTGCAAATGATTCTCAACACTCTTCATAAGATATTTGTTGTTTATAATCTCCCACATCTTCATCGCAGATGTCACGCCAATCACATCATATTTCAGCTCTTATTCCAAACAAGACCTAATCACCCCACAAGCGTTTCGATTCATCTTGTCCCATATCGCCTCATCATATTTCAGTGGCCTCTCATGGACCATGATGGTATCTTCCAAATTTTGAGCATTCAGAGCATCCTGTATGTCACTCATCTACAAACTAAAATTGATTTTGCTATCATACTTCACAACACTAATCTTTATATTCTGAAGTGCAACTTGAACTGTACTCGTCATTGTCTTGCTACTTTCACCAAGTTCTTCTCCCATTGCAAACTGACTCTAATTGTAAAGAAGACTCGAAGTTTGATAGAATTAAGAAATTACCCAACTGAGCCCTTAGATAGGATTCCAACACAATCTCCTAACCACACGAGGAAAATGAGATCTCCAACGGCAACTGCACAATGCTATCTCCACTGAAGCCTATATCTCCAATATCCAAGCTTCCAATAGTGAATCTTTATCCACCCAATGCAAAATCCTAAATCTGAAATCTAAGCTCTGATACCAATT